AATTATAATAAAAGGTTTGAATCACCACCCTTTTAAGAGTAGAGAATTTCAATTAATTTTTTTTTTAAATAGAAAGTCTCAATAAAAAAAAAAAAAAAAACCAAACACCAAACGTGAGATAAACTCAAATATAAACCTTTGTTTTAAAAGTAATAAAATAAAATAATATAGGAGCTTGGTAGGAGAGTATTGATCAAGCATATCACAAGTAGTAAATGGATGAAAATTGATTATGGTAGGAATCTCTTATAATCGATGTACCTACAAACAGTTTCCTGCTGGGTTAAACTCTCTCGTTTGAACTGCCCACTGGTCAGTTTGAGAAATTTAAGAAAGGGCAACTAAAGTTTTGTAATCATTCGGTTAATAATATGCAGCACGGCCGAAGTCCTTTAAAAAACGTCAGTATGTTAGGTTTGGTAAACTTTCTACCTACAATTCTGATTTCTACTTGAGTGTTGCATACATTCAATTGAATTGAAGTATCTATCCAAGCTCCAATCCTGTCATGTCTGTGCAAAGTAAAATTTTTATTTTTAATGTGCATGGGTTGTTTTTTTTATTGTACTAAAAAGATATATTTAGAGATTTTTTAGAGCCGTTTTGGCGAATAACTGCATACATGAGTGTTTCGGTGATTAAAAGCAATTTAAGAAATAAACAATTGTTGATCAAAGCGTAGGTAATCCTTAAATAAATTATTTAGAGTTAATAGTCCTTGAATAAGTTGATGATTTAATTAGGTCCTTTAGTTGATTAAATTTAGGTTTTCATCCAATTGGTTTTAATTTGAAAAATAATAAAACTAATTTTAATTAATTAAATTATCAACTATATTTATCTTGACCAAAAAAAAAAAAAAAAAATCCTCCAAATCATTCGTGATTATTAAATTTGACCAAAAATGATTCTAGTCAATACTTGTCACGTGTCCACTACATGAGCTGAAGGATTGATACTGCAGATATGTACATGTCCCATGTTTTGAGTTAATATCAATTTGATGAAAACTCAGATTTAACTATCAGAAAAATGAATTAAATATCCAATTTTATGCAGGAGGGCTACTGAGGCTAAAGTTTTTTTTCATGGACTATTTGCATTTTAATCTATAATTCAAAGTCCTCTAACACATTTATTAACTAATTTCTTGAAATATTGGTCCCCCTTGTCGAATTTTCCACGGAGCTCATGTATTGATGGGACAGAAGGCATATATTTTTGCAATCACAATTGGCGTGTCAGAACAACCAGCAAAGTTGGTTCTCTTGTATATAAAGGTGAAGGGAAAGGTCAAATTCCACTGATGCAACATAAAGCTGCGATCACACCCCTAATCGAGTGACTTGAAACAGGGATAGAGCCTAACTTTTCTTAAGGACAGATCATCCATCAAGGTCACTTTAATCCTATAAGAAACTATTCAGTTAGTAATCCGATAGGATGGATTTGATACTTTTGGTTGGAAAATCTTTTATGATCAAATTTACGCCCTTTTCAGTCTGTCATTTGTTTTTCTGCTTGCTTCTAGAGTCAATGACTGGAACATTATTTGACAAAATGCATGTTATAATTAAAGAGATCTTCGAAATTAATTAAAGTGATGATAAAATGTAAGTTGCCTTTGTCGTTGGCTCGTTGTCTTCTAATTATTGTGGCTGTGATAAGACTTTGCGTGATTGATTTTCCATTTCTTATCTGTAGTCGTACGTGACATTTAACTGCTTTTGGTTTACAAGCGATTGTAGCTTAATTTAAGAGCGAATTTGGCCCCTTCATGTAATCATGTTGATTTTTTAGGTCATGATTGATGACCTAACAAGACAACAAGAAAATTCTTATTTGTCTCATAATAAAAGGATAAGTGGCAACGAAGTATTGCTTGTCTGAAGTTCATTAAAAAGGGAAAAAAGAAAGAAAAAGCCTAATTGCAATCCACATGTAGCTGTCCAAGCATAGAAAGATAGGTTTATACTTGGTTTACAAGATATGGATCCTTCATTTAGAGCTTCAGCAGCCACCCAGAGTGGGAAAATAGAAAAGGGAAAAGGGTTGCCAAAAATTTCCGATTAATCCAGCATGGCCAGGTTCATGAAATGATATGTCAACCCACTAAGAAAATTGGCCATTGCTCCGGAACCAGAATACCCGAGTCTAGTGCTCCTAAATTTTTTCAGAAGAGTTTTGCTGCAATGCTAAAAAAAGGTGACAATTTGCCAATCGGCTAGACATGCTACCTGCTACCAAACCTCATATGCGCTCCATAATTTGGCATGGACATGCAGCAATTAGGATAACTATCTTCGATAAAATATTGATATCAACCTTCTCGCTTGGGACAGAATTAATTTATCTTGAGATTTTTTTTAATTATCTTGATTATAATTATTATGTAATTTGAAAGGATTCTAGATTTTTATTCAAGAATTATCATAATTTTTGGATTTTTATTTTTTATTTCATGGACTCTCGGTGTTTAGTATCATTGGCATTTTTAAATTTTCTACGCGAGTAATTGCCCTAGCCTTTAGATAAATGGACTTTGATAAGTAAAATTTAAATTTGGGTGTTTTGCTACAACTATTATTGTGTTTTTCGTTTTTGATGCATAACAAATCTTGTTATCAATATGCTATACACTGCATCGATTGGTACCAAAATGAGATTGACTCGACTGGTGGATGGAAACAATAGCAATTATTCCATCAACATTAATCAATAGATACAGACCATCTAAAATACTGTGTAAATTCAAAAAGCGATATTGAGACATAAAAAATAGAGGCTTGATCATCATTTTGAACGACTCGATAAGAGTTTTGTAGATATTCACAAAGATTACAATGCCTAAGTGATAGATGCAAACAAATTTTGAAATAACCAGAGGAATGTATCCAGAGATTAGCTCGTGATAAAATTATTATTACATAATGACAAAACTATTATTGTGTAATCGACACTATGTTTGATAAATTCTAAGATGAGGTGTTTTTTTTTAAAAAACAAATTAATTCATTTTGAGATTTTCCTTGATTATCCTAATTATCATTATTATGTAATTTGAAAAGATTTTAAGCATGTATTCAAGAATTATCATAATTTTTGGATTTTATTTTATCGACTTTCTATGTATAGTGACATTATTATGAATAAAATTTAAGGTGTTTTTTTTTTTACAATTATAATTGTGTTTTTAGTTTTTAAGAGTCTCGATACATAACAAATTTCATTATCAATACTCTGCATACCGTTTCACCTTTTAACTTAGAATTTAAAATGCTAAACTACTGGATCACCTGGGCTTTCAGACCGGAAACCCATGCCACACACCATTTATTAATGTCTTTCAACGAAATTGCTTACACTTTCTTTGGAGTTGATCATTGTTTATTAGAACACCCATATTGTACCTCAGTGGGAGACTTTTAATTTGTTCAAACAACATTATCCTGAAAAGGTAGAACTATGTTTCTAGTGCTTGCCGTTTGCCAGCAAATTGTAATGCTTTTGTTTGTGCGGTCTTTTCTATAACCCATACCCTCCAGGTTTCTTTCCTTCTTCTTCTTCTTTTTTCCTTTTCATTTGTTTACTTATTCACTATTTCCCCTCTCTCTTTTTTCTCCTGTTTGTATTCTTTTTTTCCAATTAATTCCCTTTTGTCATTCTTCAAGTTCCATTCTTTTGATCATATATTTTCCTCGTACCTAGCAAAGGTACATCCACCATTTTCTTTTCTCAATTCAACATCAGCAATTCTTTTTTTTAGCACAATTCAGGTATTGTTATCTTTAGGAGAAGATTCAAGAATGGCTTTCGGAATGTATTGATGATAATACGCCGAACAATACGTAGATATTCATATTCAAAGAAGCTAATTTCTTACTTGACTTTTTTATTGGTGAAGTAAGACGGTTTTTATGCCCTTGACTCCGAATTCGCTCTGACTTGCTTGCAAAATTAGAAAATCTATATTTTTTATAAGTTAATATTATCTTGCTTGCTAAACATTATTATTAAATTATTAAATTCTATAATATACAATAAATTTACTATGCACAAATATATTAAAGGATGTCACAAAGAATAAAAAGTGTGCTTTCGTGGAGGTCTTATGTCCCACATCAGCCAAAAAATACGTACACATTTGTTTATAGGTTATAAGAGTTAGTATGTCATGACAAACTGACGGTGTTCCTGCCTCAATGTACGTCCCTTACTTGATATATATATTTTTTTTTTAAAAAAAAGGGAAAAGAATCGAAAAAAGTAATAACAAGCTCAACCTATCTGAATAGACGTCGAAACTCGAACCGGATCCAATCCAAAGCAGGGCTGGGATGAGGAAGGCAAAAACCCGAAGGTGTGGGATGTAGACTGTGGGCTGAGGCCTATGTTGTTTTCTATTGGGCCTTGCTTAAAATGACGGGCTATTCTTTTAAGTGGGAGTAATAATAAGGGCATATAACAATGGGTTAGGCCCCACTTTTGTAATACTGTCTACTTACTCGTAATATGAGGCCCACCCGTCACCAATTTGAAATTAGCTTAGAACCACCATCTAAGGAAGAAAGCGGGACAATTGCGCGGGATTTCAATATAAATAAAAAACCTTCGCGCTCACTCGAAAGAAACTCCTCCCCTAACGGCTATAAATATATGGGGTATGATGACCCAAAGTTCTGTTATCTCACTTTCTTTTTCGGCCCTAGGGCTAGGGTTTCAATACTTTGATGCTCCGAAGAAGAGATTCAAAGTTCGTCATTGAGAAACATTGGGAAATGCAGTCTAAGAATTTAGATGTTTTCACATCTCCTTTCGTATCCAAATAAAATAAATAAATAGAGGCTTCGGCCTGGATTTTTTTTTAAGATGTAGACACAGGTCTGAATTCCTGAACTCTTGTGAGCTTCAATTGTAATCATAACTAGTATGGATCTCTACAGGTTGATAAAATTGTCTTTAGTCGATCACTAGCCCCAAGTTTCAGTTTACTACCGCGTATGGATTACGCTTTTCGCGCACACGGGGAAGTAGGCGAGACTCGAACGGACAAGCAAAACCTTTGCCGCTCTCTATTGGTATAATTATATTCCCCATTGCTGTCTGACTCTGAATTTGTGGATTAGGGTTAGGACTTAGGGTTAGCACATTTGATTTTGAGTATTCGTTTATTCATGTTTTAAATTTGGAATTGAACTATTATGAAAAAGTAATTAGATAATTTTGTACAAATTTTTATAATGGAGATGTTTGGGGCCATTCGGGTTTCGTACACTTTGTCTCCAGACTTGGATCTATAAGAAGTCCTTTCTTTTAAAATCTTTGGCAATTAGTTTGGAACTAGGATCTATAAGGAGATGGTTTGATCAATGCATGATCTAGTTTAATACTAAAATTCAGATTCAAGTAGTACTGAACCACTACGGTACTTTTGATTTCGTTTTGTGGTGAATGGTGATTATGCAGGATGCTGGAGTAAGTTTTGATGGACTTTATCACCAGTGCATATCCTCCCCCTTAGAAACAATAGAGGTCTTGTTTTCTTCTCAATTCTCTTTGCTTAAGTATTCATGGATTTTTATTTGACTCTTGTTTTAGTTTTCTGTTTTCTCTCTGAACCGTGTGATATGAAGATCCAGAGTTTCTTAGTTTAGTCTTAAGGTTTGGAGTGGTTTGTTGCAGAATCAGTCCAAAGTCGAATGTCTAAGACTTCCCAAAATGATATCAGGATAAGAGAACAGAGTGTAGGTTCGACATTGTGGTATTGGCACTCAGTAAGGCTTTGGGTGTATGAATCTTTGTCTTACTTGTTTGAGGGATAGGCTTGAGGGAGGGATGGACTTCTAAGAGATGACGGTAATGAATGGTGGCTGGTCCATGTCAATTATTTGGTTTGTTATTTGACCAACCTTGTTGGAGTTTAATGTGAACGCGGAAATGATAGGAATTTACCATATCAATTGATTCAATGCTTATGTTTTGTCAAAATACTCTAATGTCTTTTCCCTTCACCTGAGAGCCTTGATTTTCACAATATTTTTTTACTATTTAATTTTCCAGCTGGAAGGTCTCATTAAGATGGTATAGTTTCTACATGCCAAAGGCTCAAAGCTGTTGGAACTGCTTGAGATTTGCTGCATTCATGCTTTATAACAAATGCACTCACACATGCATACATGGCCAAGCATGTACAAGCATGAGTTACGACACATGTACTAACTATACGTGGTGGCATTTTTTCTGGAAGTCATTTGATTGCTGAAAGTTTTTGTGGTACTCCATGGACTCTACTGTTGTATATATATATTTTTTCATTCCTGTGGTTTTCAGTTTGCTTGCAAATCTACTGCAGGAGGAATGATGGTAATTACTCATGGTGAAGACCGAAAAGTACTGCGCAAGTGTGCTGTTCCAACTGTGGAAACGGCAGGAAAGATACAGAAAGCATCTCTTAAGGACCTTTCACTTGGATATGGTGAAATGATGGACTATCAATAGCTGAGGCTGCATTAGACATCCTAGTTCAACTTGGTATCTGGAGGATGCATTTGAATGTGACAGATTTTCAGGCTAGTTCATGTAACTGTCTCTATTCTGTCTAGTTCAATTGGGCATTTTATAAGATTTTCAGCCCTTGGTAGATTTTGCTGTCTCCCTAGGGACTTTCTGTGCCTTTTTGTACTTTCAGCAGAAAATTCAGAGATTGCCTTAGTGGTTGCTTTGACCTCCAGCCATACCACACATTGCTGTGGATTGGCTGGTTAAAGAACTTGGGCAATATAGGACTTGAATTTGATTTCAGTCATTTAGATGGCTGCGTTACATCAATCCTTCTTATTCTACATTTTTTTTGTGTTTCACTTAAAGTGGCTTCACTATATGGTACCTCCATGTTGTATCCTTGTAAACAGCAGATATGATCAGTTTTCTTCTTATCCTACCATGACAGCGCACCTCAACTATGGTACAGTTTGGTGACAGAAAAAGGCAATGATGAATTCCTTAGCGGCGGTCGAAGTTTTAGCAACTCCAGTATACTTATCAGCATCGTTAGACACTTTTCTCTTAGAAATTAATTATCACAACTAATAATGTCCTGCACACCAAAAAAAAAAACACACCTCAAGAAATTGTTGGAACATGGACTACTTGCCATGGAACTTATTCCTGTTATCATTTTTGGTATAAACCTCATCCCATTGCTGATTTAATTAACGAATTAGTTAATATCCAAATGCTTGTTCATTGATACCAATCATTAGTAGCTTATTTATTCAAATTACATTTCTGGAGATTTCAGGTTCCTCAGCCAGAAATATTGACAGTTTCACTTGCTTATCTTCTGCTTCTTCTACTTACTCTTTTAGTCTCCCAAATGGAAACCATCATGCATGAGAAAACCATTAGCATATTGCCCAAGAGGCAGCAACAATGACAAAGATGAATAGCTTCTTCAACATAAGTAGTCGAACCTGCTCCTTAAAGCTCTTGGAAGTCCCCAATCATTGGTAATATCATCTCTGGCATTCCCAAATGACTCGGTGGCAATGGCAACCGCCATGGTTGCCTCCTTTGGTTTGAATCCTGCTCCAGTGAATCAGGGTATGCATATAATTTTTATACGCTATTGTACTATTTTCAGCTCTCCTGCAATTTAATTTATTTTTGGATTGTGCTAATTTTTCTTGGATAAGCTGAAAATTTGAGAGAGGAATACATCAATATTCTTTTACATGAAAGAATTTGCTGAGAGAACAACCGAACAGGAGTGTTATGGTGGCACATCCGTAATATAAGAAAAAACTGTCATTTTCTCCAATTACAAATATCAAAGACTTTAGAAGGGATAAGCTCCAAAAGGTCAAATGTCTTGCAACTTCCTTACTATGTGCTATTGTCACTTTAACTTGAACTTGCTTTTTAAAATTCGATGTCATGCCTTAGTAACTATTATTGTTTAATTTGTTAACCCTAATGTAAACCTGCAATATTAGGTTTCAGTATATCACCTATTTGTGAATGCCTCGCAATATCAAAGGGAAAAGCCTCCATTATTGTTGAAAACTCACCGTATGTTAAGGTTATTCATCTCATATTATAGTTGCCTCATACTTTGGTTGTTCAACACCGTTGTGTCAAATGGTGGAAAATAAAGGTAAAAAAAGGAAATGAATTAGGGGTTGGGCAATTCAAGGGGATTAGTTTTTTAAATCAATCACTTCAAGATTAATTAGCCTTTGTAAAAAAGTGAAACCGGGGTTTCAATTGACGAAGTTGTTGTACGCTACCCACCAACCATGATATCGTGGGAGATAGTACTCTTACACTTTTAACTATGAAGATCATTTAAAGAGAACCAAAAAAGGAAAATTGACTAAGTTCTCAAAATAATAGTAGACAAACTTTAAGAAATAATTAGAGAATAGTATAAAATAGGGAAGCATATTAGTTGATGCTAATAGAAATGAAAAGAAGCGAGATATTGGGAGATGCGTAAAAATGATACCGGGGGAATGCTCCTTTGGTATATATGATGGTCAATATATTAACTTCGCAATCGTGGTTATTATGTCTTCCATTTGTCACCTTTAATTTTATTTCGTGACCGATGTGAGATTATTAAATATGCCTAAGCATATAAGCGTAGCGAAAATTATCGGGATACATACCTCCCGTCATAATTGATTAAGTGCTCAAGATATTGTTGAAAAAAACTGGAGCCACCAAGGGGAGAGAGCCTTCTAGTCTATGCCAATACTTTAGGGTTTTGTGTGTTGATGGATAACACGAGCTTTAATTACTATTTATATGGTTAGACCAAGGACTCTTTCTTTAACCTAATTTTGCACCTCCATCCATCATGGATGTGCCTAGCCCACTACTAAAGTCCATTGGGCTCTAAGTCTTTAAATTGTCATTTATAGATTTAAAACAAACATGACATATGGGCCGCACTATAGAATATTTCTTACATTCTCCCATTTGGCCCATATGACACTATCTAAAAATGACATTTTCTTTATAGAGTCCATAATGATTAGTTAGTGGAAACACTCATACTTAGATTAATAATGCAATATATAAATCATAGTGGTTATGCTTTATAACTAAGCACTCCCTTCCATGTATTACAATATATTACATCCTTAAAACAAGCACTTAATGAGCAAATAAACTTTATGAATGAACTTCTAATAAGTCATTCGAGTCCAACTTTATATATCAAAATTAATACTTTATTGTGCATAAAAATCACATCAATCTTTAAGAACAACTTAAAAAATATCTAGACAATCAATAAAAGAAAATGAAGTCAAACAATAAATGGGTTAGCTAGACCCATACGATCCACATGATCTTTATATTGTTTTGTCGGCAGTGCTTTAGTCATAGGATCCGCAATCATTAGCTCAATGCTAATATGCTCAATGAGCACTTCATGTTCCTTCACTTTCTCTCTCACAATGAGATACTTTATGTCGATATGTTTGTTTCGGCCTCCACTTTTATTATTCTTAGAAAAAGAAAATCGAATCCGAATTGTCACGAGTAAATCTTTAGTGGTCTTGATATGGAATCGACAATTTGTAGACCGAAATGAAGTTTCTTAACTAAATAGCTTGTGTCGTTGTTTCATAGCATGCAATGAATTCTCGCTTCCATAATAGAAGAAGCAACAATAGTTTGCTTAGTGTTTCTCCAAGACACGACTCCTCAAGTAAGAAGAAAAATGTATCATGAAGTAGACTTTCTTGTGTCTACACAACCAAGAAAATCCGAATCGAATAACCAACCACCTTAAGGTGATTAGTGTGCATGTAAGTCGATCTATAATTCTTGGTTCCTTGTAGATATCTCATGGCTTTCTTAGCAGACTTTCCAATGGTCCATTCCGAGATTGCTTTAGAACCTACCCAAGCATTCTTACCGCAAATGCCAAGTCGAGTCTTGTACAAACCTCGTGTATACATCAAACTCCCTACCGTAGATGCATAAGGAATGTTACTCATCCGTTCCTTGTCCAATGCATTTTATGGACATTGATTCATATTGAATTTATCCCCTTTGATAATGGGTGCTACCGAAGATGCATAATTTGACATCCCGAATCTTTCCAAGACTTTTTCAATATAGACATTTTGAGACAGTTCTAATATTTTTTGAGATCTCGTCTCTGTGAATCTCTATGCCAATGACATAAAAGGCTTCACCTAAATCCTTCATATCAAAATTTTGAGTAAGAAATTGCTTAGTCTCATGAAGCAAACCCAAGTCACTACATGCAAGCAAAATATCATCTACATATAGGACAAGAAAAATATATTTTCTCCCACTAACTTTAAGGTATATACATTGATCAACAATGTTCTTAATAAAACCATACGAGGTAATAACATTGTAAAACTTGATATACCACTATCGGGAGGCTTGCTTTAGCCTATATATAGATTTTTTAGATTACAAACCAAGTGGCTATTTGTATCATCACAAAAACCTTCGAGCTAATTCATGTATACCTCTTCATCCAAATTTTCATTTAAAAATGTTATTTTCACATCCATCCGATGTAGCTCTAAATCAAAATGAGCCACTAATGCCATTATTATTCCGAATGAATCCTTTTTAGAGACCGAAGAAAAGGTCTCATGATAGTCTATGCCTTCCTTTTAGGTATAACCCTTAGCCATAAGTTACACTTTATATCGTTCGATATTACTAGAAGAATCTCTTTTGGTTTTATAAACCCATTTGCAACCAACGGCTACGGATCCTTTTGGTAATTTGACGAGGTCCCAAACTTGATTTTTATGTATTGGCTCTATTTCTTCTTTCATAGCATTATACCATAAATTGGAGTTTTCTCCATTCATGGCTTGTGAAAACGAGTTTGGATCATTCTTAAGTCCAACATCAAAGTCGGACTCTCGAAGGTATACAACGAGTCATTAGAAATTACTAGTCTCCTTACTCTTGAAGATCTTATTAATTTAACATCTTCATCAAGAACTAGTTGCTTTTGAACTTGTTCAACATTATCTAATTGACTTTCTTGAACAATAACCAATTGCCTTTTATCCTTATGCAACACAGTTGAATCTTGTGTTTCCTCAAATTCTATTCTTCGAGGAAAATCACACCCACTAAGGTTAAGATCCTCAAGAAATTTAGCATTTCTTACCTCTACTATTCTTGTACTCGTGAAAAGGACAATAAAACCTATATCCTTTAGAGTTTATCGTATAACCAATAAAATATCCACTCGGTTGTTCTAGTGGTCTAATTTCTTTAATCGAGGATTATAAATCCTTACCTCAACAGACAACCCCATATATATGTATGATTTAAACTAGGTTTCCATCCATTCCATAATTCAAAAGGTGTCTTAGAGACGACCTTGGATGGAACCCCGTTTAGAATATACACATCGATCTTTAATGCTTCACTCCATAAGGATAATGGTAAATTAGAATTACTAATCGTGCTTCTAACCATATCCA